AGGCCTTACAGAAAATGATAAAATGATCAATAGATTATATTACCACAGGTACAACACTTAATAATAGTCATAGGATACAATAAGCAATCAAATCATACTAGGAAACAGTCAATATAGATTGTAAGTTTACAAGCGACCAAGTTAGTCGTACAGTCACAAGTGGGAGCGGATAGGTGATAAGGAGTGATGAGAAGATTAATAGCAATAGTAGTGCAGACTTTGTAAATAGTTTGACAGTGTTGAGGAAATTATTTGTTTTAGCAGAGTGATGGCTTTCGGGGGAAAAACTGTTCTTGTGTCTAGTTGTTCTGGTGTGCAGTGCACTATAGGGTCGTTTTGAGGGGAGGAGTAATATGTATTACTGTACACTTGTATCTTGTAGGAGTTCAAGACAGTGTCTGAATCTCCCTACATTTTATTCATACAACTGCTGTGTGTGTGTTGGTTAGGCTGAAAAATATTGACCGGTTTTGCTGTTTGATTAAGGAGGAAACCAAATCAAACGCTTGCAATTACTGTAAAGGTTTTCCTGAAAATAAATTTCATTGCATATAGAGTTGCTTGTGATGTGCCTATATAAAATTTTGAATGTCACATTTGACCCTGACTGCTTTGGGGGAAAATATCTCCCTTGTGAAGCTTTGACCTGAATCTTCTTGAAATTTTCTGAAAAATTCCACTTAAGAGTTGCATAAATCAATAACTGGTTTGATCTGGAGTTGCTGTTCATGTGTTTTTCCTTTAACACCTTAAAATGCCAGGACATCTGCGTTTGGTCCTAGCCATCCTCATTTGGTTATCCTATTTTAACGTGTTAACAGCAGGTCTGTCAGAAGCTGTATATTATTCCTTATCTTGTCACCATTTATGCTGTGTCTACATGAAATAATTTACTATTGGACAATTTCAAAGGCAACAGAAGAATTCTCAAATGGGTCAACATGTGGAGAGAAATGAAGTGTGAACTGATGTTTCAAAACCCACAGTTGCATTTAGTTAACTTGACATCCTTCAGCAAAAAGCTCTGTTTGTTTTTTCTGGTCCGGCAAAATAAATTTATAGCCTTATCTGTCTTCTTTTGGCACTTAGGTAGTTTAAGGTTTGTTCTTCCAGATGATTATGGACATTAACAAATTATTGTATATTCCAGTTGGGTAAGTTTTGACAAGTTCGTGGAAAGAGTTCCAACTGCAAAGACATTTGAGACAAAAGTGACAAGTTTGAGGAGTGTGCATGAAACTATTTTTGTTTCTCTGGTGAAAGTTAGCCAAGGACAGGAGATATTAATCTACGTCTCTTGTGAAATTACGATAATGTTCATAGCTGGTGAAGTTTGGATAATGCTGAAGAATTCAAGGCCACTGCTTCATTTACCTTTTATATGCTAATAAAGGAAAATATTTGTAGCTCTGGCTTGAAATGAGAGGTCCTTGGCACTCCCTGATTTTGGCTGTTTTCTTGCGGACGTTTCATTACTCAAACTAGGTAACACCATCAGTTGCTAGTAAGGCATTTTCTGTGTCTCTTTGTGTCTGTCTAATTGTCCTCCAGGTTTTTGCAGCTGGGATATAATAACTCAACTCCATAGAGTCAAGTCAATGATGGCGTTACTCAAGAAGTGGGCACAAAGGAGAGAGGCAGGTAAGGGGTCTGGTGTCTGGGCTTCGAGAGCTGCTCACCCTGCCTCCAGTCCAGTGGTGGGATTCAAAATTTTTTACTACTGGTTCGGTAGGTGTGGCTGTGGAAGGATACTGTAAAATCTACATTCCCACCCCATTCCAGGGGAAAGATTACTGCAGAATCCCCATTCCCTCCCCCACCCCACTAACCTGCTTTCCAGCTCCGTTCTCCTATGCAGGGCAACAAAAGAAGACCCAGCCGATCAGCTGGGACTCGGGAGGCAGAGGATAGATGTGGGCGGAGCCAGTCAGAGGTGGAATTTGCCAGTTCTCTGAACTACTCAAAATTTCCACTACCGGTTCTCCAGAACTGGTCAGAACTTGCTGAATACCACGTCTGCTCCAGTCCAATTTTATAACTGGAGAATGGATCTTAAGATCCTTAAGTCATTGTCACGTTTTGTCCACCCAATGTGGATTTGTCTGCTGTTTGTAGAAACTGTTTGGCCATGAGATTTTATCATTAGTGGTGGGCATAAAAACGAGGGCCATGTATTTTCATATCCCATTTTTATAATCTTATCTGGGCTTAAGACTATGCTTAATCGTGAAATAGCACAGGTTTAATGACGAGCTAATACAGGTAGTCCTCGACTTACAACAGTTCGTTAGTCACCATTCGAAGTTACAATGGCACTGAAAAATGTGACTTGGGACCGTTTTTCACTGTTACGACCTTTGCAGCGTCCCTGTGATCATGTCATCCAAATTCAGATTTTTATGAATGTTGCTGTGTCACAAGGTCATGTGATCACCTTTTGCCACCTTCTGACCAGCAAAGTCAATGGGGAAGCCAGATTCACTTGATAACTTAACAACTGCAGTGACTCACTTAACAAGAAAAGTCGTAAAATGGGGCAAAATTCATTTAACAAGGGTTTCACTTAACAACAACATAAATTGTAGACTCAATTGTGGTCATTAAGTCGAGGACTACCTGTATGGAGTTGTGAAATGTATAAGTAGTCCTTGACTTACGACCACAATTGAACCCAAAATTTCTGTTGCTAAGCGAGACCATTGTTAAGTGAGTTTTGCCCCATTTTACAACCTTTCTTGCCACAGTTGTTAAGTGAATCTGGTTTCCCTGTTGACTTTGCTTGTCAGAAGGTTGCAAAAAATGATCACATGACCCCAGAACACTGCAACCATTATAAATAGGAATCAGTGGCCAAGTGTCTGACCGTCTGACTATTCCCACATGACCGTGGAGATAGCAATAGCACTTAGACTCATATACCACTTCACGGTGCTTTCCAGCCCTTTCTAAGCGGTTTATAGAGTCAGCATATTGTCCCCTAACCGTCTAGGTCCTCATTTTATCGACCTTGGAAGGATGGAAGGCTGAGTCAACTTGAGCTGGTGAGAATTGAACTCCTGGCAGTCGGCAGAATTAGCCTGCGGTACTTCACTCTTAACCACCGTTTTCGATACCATTATAACTTTGAAAGGTCACTAAATGAACAGTTGTAACTCGAGGACTACCTATATTTTAGATTTATGTTTCACTAATGTCAAGGATACTGTAGTTCTAATTTGTAAATTGTGACTTGAGTGGCTGTAATACTTCATCCTAAGTAATTCAGGTAAATATTAACACTCAGTAGGCAAGATTGGTTCTATGAGGATTTTCATTGTTTCTGTATTTACATCAGTGTTTCTCATCCCTGGCAACTTTAAGATGTATGGACTTCAATTCCCAGAATTCCCCAGAAAGCATGGGGAAAAAAGCTGAAAAGATTACGGAACAGTGCTGCTATGAATTCTTGATTTGTTTGGAAATATGATACTAATTCCAAAATCAGAATTGTTTTTCTATCAAGGTTTTTACCACCAATTCAATAGTTTATTTTGTTAAGTTAACCCCAAATCCAAATAGGTGCTTGTCAGATAGCAATAGTAACGTCACTTAGTCTTATATACCACTTCACATTGCTTTATAGCCCTCTATAAGTGGTTTACAGAGACAGCATATTGCCCCAAATAATCTGGGTCCTCATTTTACCAACCTCGGAAGGATGAGTCAATGAGAATCAAACTCCTGGCAGTAGGCAGAATTAGCCTGCAATACTGCATTCTAAACACTGCGCCACCACAACCCAAAGATACTGATACTTAAAAATTTATTTTCAGTCTAACTAGCCCTGGTGAACACAAGATATTCTGTGCATAAACTGAAGTGAATTTTCATCAAACTGCATAATATTGAGAATCAGATAAATAATTCTGGCATATTTAATAAAACACACGAATCCCACAAGTACCTTTCTTTATCCATAGCTTTGAATACCATAACAACTGCATAAAAACAATGCTTGCATTAAATAATTAACTATTTGCTGCCTTTAAAAAACACCAGAGTTTGTGGCCTGAGGCAATTGCCACACCTCATTTAATGATAGGGCCAACCCTGTAATTATGACAGGAAGGCATGCACCACCCTGCCTTAATTCAATTGGGTGTGTGAATGATGAAAATCAGTCTTTTTTTTTTCCCCTAGCAGTTTAATCAATCTCCATCTTTCTTGTCTTTTCAAGGACAAAACTCAGCCAAGGATTTCAAAGTGATGACTCTCAGCAAAAATCCAAGGAATGGAAATGAACATTTTTCTTAAAACATTTTTTTTTCTTTTCTTTTTTTTCTTCTTTGCTTTATATTTGATTGGATTAATTTTTTATGTTTTCTTTAACATTTCAAAAAAAATATTCCCTGTATATCTATCTATCTTGCAGCTTCTCTGTAGTAATATAGACCTTTATGCATGATGGTATTTCTGAATCCTGAAGCTTGGGTAGCCGGAAAAATTCCAGGCCTACCGAAGCATGTATATTGACAGGTTTTTCCAGTAAACCCTTCCCCAATTCTAATAGCAGTGGGCATGCCATGCAATCTAGTTTATATACTTTTTCTCTGTTAACTTTGGTTCACTAACCAACCAAAAATTTGTATGTTTTTTTGTATATTAAAAACATTTCAGCTAATTCTACATTAGGAGGAAAAATGGGGCTTTGTCATTGATATTCCTGAGGTGAGATAATGCTGCCTTTTAAAATTACTTAAAATGAATCAAACTCTCCATCTCCGTTTGTTATTTTTTCAGTCTCCTGCCATCACTTTATATGTGGGAGTCTCAAAAAAACTTTATTCCTATAAAACTTAATCTACCAAACTGCAACTACAAAGGATTTTTTTTTCCAGACTGAAAGTTCTCCCTTCAGTATACTCATCATACAACAGATGGATCTCCACTTCGCTGGATCCTGGCTGGATCATATACCTTCCTGCTATCAGAAGCTCTCCATCATTTCACAAATGTATTATAGGTATTTTTACGTTGTCTAGAGATCAGTGTTTCTCACCCTTGGCAACTTAAAAATGTATGGATGTTGGATCCCAAAATTTCCCAGCCAGCCATGGTTGAGAAACGCCAATCTAGATTCTGATGGTTTGAATCCTTAATGTATCCAATAAATTCTAGAGCTGAAGTCTACACATCTTCAGGTTGCCAAGATTAAGAAACGCCGGTCTAGATTCTAATGGTGTAAATCCAACTCCATTTATACTTCAGTTCTAATCCTATTGTCCCTATTGATCAAAAAAGAGATTATTCCCACACCGGATATCCAAAGCTGAGGTGTTTACTTATTGTGCATCTCTCACAATACACTCTAAAACC